AAAATTATACAGGAGAAGCAAAAAACTTTTTAAATTGCAAAGTTTGTTTCTATTAACGCGATTTATTTTAGCAAATAAACTAATTGTTTAATAGTGAAACTTATCATTTGTTATGATAGTTGACAATTTTGTGGTAAAAAGACAAAAGTACATAAGTTGATTTTTTGTACTTTTCAGGAGAACGGTTTATAGTTAAACACTTTTAAAAAGTTCGGATCCAATTTTTTTGAAAAATGTTCAGAGATTTCAAAAATGCGAAAACATGTACATGCATAATGTACTTTTTCATTTGTACTTTTTCATTTTTGCCACAGAATTTATTTATTTTTCCCATGTAGATTTACATATCGTCAGTATATTATTAGTTTGACCCAAACACTTGTTATTGAGAAAAACGACTTAGAAGGTTTACATAAACTTTTCTCAAAATTTACGTGATAGATTTTTATTAAATTTTCTCAGTTGATTTCGACATATGTTTTGAACAAAATTATAAATTTATACACCGTTATGTAAAATTGAAAAAAGTTATTAAGATTTTAATTACAACAATAATTCCTGTTTTATGGTCTATATCAATTTTTTATTTTTGTTTTCCCTTTTTAGGGTCTATATCCATACAAAATTAGTATTTTTTATACCCTTCATCAAATAAGATCCGAACGAAAACAGCTAGAGGGCTAAAATTTTCCACAAATATTTTTTATTTTTTAATAATTGAGCCTACAACCAATATATAGCCCTCATCCAAAATTACTTTAACTACAGTCTTAAAAATGCCATTATAATGGTGAAAATCGAAATAAAAAAGTTTTATATTTATAGTAACTAAAATCTCTCAACCAAATGTTATGATGGTTGGCTTATAATTCTTTCATGTATATGGGACACGGTCTCCCAAGATCCGTAATTTGGAGTAGATCGTAATTTTGAGTTCACAGCTACAGTAAATGATAAAACTAAGTTCTTTTTTAGAATTTGACTGCACTACATGCTAAAAGGGATAATATCCTGCGATATCCTACGAAAACACTTTTTCCATTGTCCATCAAAATATATGTACGTCAACATAAAGTGTGTAGAGTGAGCTCATATTCATAAAAAATCCAGAGGTTTCGTTTTGTGCGTGAAAGGGATAAACCCCTCCTTTAGAAAAATTCTTTCTTTCCCTAATAATGTCATCTTTAGAAAATGACTTCAACGACCACTACTGACTCAAAAAATATCGCCAAATTTATTAAACTTGCCATTAATATGTTTTATATTATCCAAAATCTCCCTACCAATTTGTATTATTTTTCTGGCTTGAAAATATCGGTATAGCTGTGAAATTCACCATAAATACAAAAATTTACCTACCAAATTTCATAAGGATCGGTCTATAATTGACCCTACCCTACATATAAGGTCCCCTTTATAAAGTACTTTAACACCTATTACTGTTCTAAAAATACCGGTAAACAATGAAATCTAGCAAAAATAAGTTTTACAAGAACCAACATTTTAATAGGATCAGTATATATTTGATCCTATCCTCATATAAACACTCTTCCAAAAGCAATTTATTATCAATCAGAGATAATAAATTGCTTTTCCTGCACTATTTTTAAAAAAATAGTGCAGGAATATTTTTTGAACTAATAATTTAGTGTAGAAAAAATTATTTCACTAGGCTGTAAAAACAAATATTTTAACTATTTTTAAAATATTTTTAGTTAAAAATTTTAAATATCACTATCACTATTATTGAGTGAGGCTTATATTTTTCAATTCATCACTAAACTTAAACAAAAGTAGTGAATAATTTTGAACTACCACTAATTATTAGTGATAGTTAAAAATTAGTGCACTACTCCCATCTCTGTTATCAATGAATCCAAATGTTAAGTATTATGATAGAAATACTCAACAAACTGATTTTATTAAAAAAAAGAGTCACTCTTTGAAATTCTGAAGAACATCGTCCATAATTAAACTAAGCCATAGAACTTATTCCAATGTTCACATTGACTTTAAATTCACCTTATAAGTATTTACAAGACATGCTTAGATGGTGGGTATATAAGCTTCGGTACAGCCTAAATATTACCTCTTTCCTGTTTATTATGGCAGTGAAGCAAAACAATAGTAATTAATTTGTTTTCAATTTTCGTATGAAAATTGCGGTCTATACGCCAAACAGTGGTGTATGGAGCAAAACAATATTTATTTAGTATTAAAAATGTGAATATAGACCAAAGTTAACACCCGATATCTCGGAGGTCAATCAAATATCGTAAAATGGGTTTCGGAATCGGAGAGAGGATGTCCAAATTATATACAAACCACACCTAACTCAATTTTTTTTTAAATGTTCGGTGGGTCAAACCAAAAATATACTGACGATATTATAAAATAATGTTTATTTCAAAGACCTAACGGTTATAAGAAAAATTACGAAAAGGTCTCATTTAAGAATTAATAGTGATGGACATAGAAAAGGTATACTATCGGACAAAATAAAGTGCAAAAGTGCTCATGCTATATTCTTTCAGCGAAAAATCTGTTAAATGATTCTTGAATATGAAAAAATTTATCAAAATCATTTACTTAATATACAATGCTACAATAATAACAATAAAATAAAATTATTCCACCTTAAATTTTTCTGTATAACATCCAAAATTAAAGTAAATTCACTTTTTTGTCGGACAAAATAAAGTGTAAATTTTATATATCATTATTTAAATTTCTTGTATATCAACATTTTTTATCTATTTTGATTCTGATTTGAATATCTGGATCTACTTAAGACATTTTTGTATTTTATTTACCATTATTGTTCGCAATCGCCTTCCCTTCTCCTTGCTTTTCCCCATACGATTATTTTCAAAAGAAATCCGTTTTTGTTCGCTATTTTAGCGGAATATTTGGTCAATTGCGGTCAAAAATTAATCTATTGGATTTAAGACGATGCTCTGAGCAGGTTATTCCAATTTTTCAGTGTTTATTTTTCTTACAGAAATGTTTTTTATCTTTGTCGTGAGTTTGAATTCATGAATCTGTTGAGGCATTAAGTCTACCAAATCCTTTTATACGGCATTTATTTCAAAATTTTTATTAAATACGCTCGTGAATTGCTCATTTGTTATTGTTCACTCCATTTTCACTAAGATTCCCTCTCCTAAAGTGGAATAATGTACCAATACCGATAGCCCTCAACCATAGTGTTTAAAACCTGGGGTATTGTTTTTAAAATTTTGTATATTGAAGGGCTAAACTCACACTCATTGTCGACATTTTAAAATTTTCGGTGCAAATTGGGACTCATCTAACCAACTACGCAAATTTGAGCTATAAAATACAAAATTAAATACTAAAATCAAAAAAAATTCCATGATTTTAAATATGTTGGTGAAAGATTGAAGATATGGGTCAGTTGACTCTTCGTATGTGTCCAATTTTTAACGTTAGGTGTAGGGAACCTAAGGGAAATTTATTCAAAAAGCTCCAGCGAACACTATGTGAGCATATTACAGTCAAATCTTAAGATCAGTGCCTTCGAATTGGAATTGGGCAACTTTATATCTCGGCAAGATAATTAGCTTAAGCACTTGATAAAGTTAAAAAATAACATTACTATAGGAAAGAACAATGAAAAATTGGAATAAGTTGCTCAGAGCACCGCCCTAAATCCAATAGATTAATTTTGGACCACAATTGATCAAAAAATTTCGATGAAATAGTGATCAAAAACGGATTTCTTTTGAAAATAATCATGTGGGGAAAGCAAGGGAAAGGGAAGGCGATTGCGAAAAACAATGATAAAAAAATTACCAAAATGGCTCAAGTAGATCCAGATATTCAAATCAGAACCGAAATAGATAAAAAATTTTGATATACAAAAAATTTAAATAATGATATTTAAAATTTACACTTTATTTTGTCCGACAAAAAAAAATGAATTTACTTTAATTTTAGATGTTATACAGAAAAATTTTAAGTAAAATAATTTAGTTTTATTGTTATTTTTGTAGAATTGTATATGAACTAAATGATTTTGAAAAAATTTTCCATATTTTTTGGTTACGAATGAATAACAGTTATCGAAACTAAAATATTTTTTGGTTATATTTTTTTCAAATATCTGGGGCAATGTAAATAAAACGTCCAGTTTTGCAGCTAATGTCTATTCATTTTATAAATAAAATATAACTTAAATTAACTTGCTTTGTAATTCCATTAATATTTATATGGACCAAAAAGTAAATTAAATAAATTTTGGTTATACCTACATATATAACCAAAAAAATATTGGTTGCTATGTACTATGTATAATTTTCAAATAAAATGAAAAATATTACAATGTAGATACAAAATGTAATAAAACTTACTGAAAATACGGATGGAAAATTGAAAATCGTATGATTTTTTAAAATTTTTTGAAATATTTCAAAACGATTGGATTTTTTCATTTTATTTGTTTTTTTTATTTTTATTTAAACAAAGAAAAAAAATAAAAACAGAAACAAATTTCAAATAAAAACAGAAACAAAATGAAAATTTACGTTTTTTCTTTAAATTTTTTCAAATTGAAGTTTCATTTTATTTCAAATCTGATAGTGTAAAAACAAAATATATTTTCTATTTGATTTTTTTGATAATCATACCAATTTTCATTTTATTTTGTTTTGGCAGTATGAAATAAAAATCTAACGACTTCTCTTGTAGTGTGTAGGCAGATTAAATAACAGTTATTCATAACCAAAAAAATATTTCTCATGTTAATTGGTTACGGAGACCTAAATAATATAATTCTTATAATAATGGTTAAAAAGTCCGTAAATAACATAAATGGATTTTTTGCGTAAACTTTTCTTTCAAAAGAAAAAAATAATTATTTTCTGTCCCTGGTTTATTTTCATAATACACACATTAAATTCGAATAATTATGTGAGACACTGTACATGAATTCATTACACTACATTGTACATATTACAGTATAATGTGCGGTATCTTACCCGAAGATTTTCCAAATCATTCTTGGTTAACGCATTTTGAGCAATGTTAAACAATCCCGAGTTTAAACTTGGAACTGATACATTACCGCGATAAATAAAGTTGTCCTGTTCATTTGGATTTAAGGCATGTTGTAATTCAATATTTATCCATCCATCAAATTCCAAGTATGCCTTTAAAAACAAAAGTAAATATATCTAAATGTAATGTAATTTATATTTTATAACATACACAGGATTTATTAAATAGCCCCAATAGAAATATTGATAAAAATAACAATTCAAACTTAATTCTCATCTTATATATTTTTTACACTTTAATTTCTTTTTCTTAAAATGAAACCAGATATAGATGCCGATGCAAAATTAACGATGACGACGGAGCGACAAATTTTGGACGGCGACGTCGGCTTATTATAAATCTTATAGCAGACGGCTAAAATGTAGGCAAAGCAGCTCAAACAAGGCGAAATCACATAAGGTGGTGTTATCAATCACGATTATTTTTTTCTTCACTTGACGCACTAATGTGAGAGTTTGCTATTATTTACATTTTTAAATTTAAAAATATCCGTTAAAACAGAGAAAAACTTCATTAGTATTTTAAATCTAAAAATAAAAAGCATTTTGTAAACAAATATTCTTATAGAAATAATGAATAATTGGTACGCATGTACCAACTTAAAGGGATTTTACATCACATTACTTTGTATTAATATCAGAGTTTCATTGTCTTTAATACAAAATCAATTTTGTTGTCAAAATGTATTGAACAATTTTCATTCATGTATTAAGAACCCTATTTTTTTGGTTTATTTTCAATTTCACATGGATTATGAAGAAAGTTATGGTGGAAAATAAAAGGAAATTAATTTATAAATTAAAATTTTAAAATAATTGTGTATTTTGTTAAAAAAAACTGAATTTAAAAATGATTTAAAAGCTCAATACATTTCAAACAACAAAATGTTTTAGATTTTCAGACTACAATACATTTTCAAATACATAATACTTTGAATTAATACAAAATCACATAATGTAAAGTACCTTTTAAAGCCTGGTACTCTGTTCAAAATTGCGAAAAATTATGGTTTTTTCATGCGAAAAATTTGATGTGCAACAAATGTAGTCTATCTCACTATTTTGGAAAGTTTGTCGCTTTTATTGCTATAAAGTATGCATCATTACTTCAAATACGTAAACAAAAACCATATGTTTTTTGAAAGCTGAAAATAAAATAAATCTTAATATAATAAACTATTCAGTGTTTTTTATTTAAAATGAATGAGAATATATTATGACCGCTTGTGCAGTAAATTTAATTTATGATTTTGTAATTTTTTCGGCTCGAGATATAATAATTTTGGGAAAAACAATAAAATGTAATCAGCTGTTTGTTTTAATTTCGTTCGAAAGAAGTGCTGCTTATTAGGGTTCTATAGTTGAAACGAAAAGTCGACTTTTCGACTTTTCGACTTTTTGCATTTAGTTAAAAGTCGACTTTTCGACCTTTCGACTTTTTCCATTTTATGAAAAGTCGATTTTTCGACTTTTCGACCTTTTTCATTTATTTAAAAGTCGACTTTTAGACTTTTCGACTTTTAGTATTTTATAAATGGTCGACTTTTCGACCTTTCGACTTTTCGACTTTTTCCGACTTTTTTCGACTTTTCGACTTTTTCCTACTTTTTCCGACTTTTCGACTTTTTTCGACTTTTTTCGACTTTTCGACTTTTTCCGACTTTTTTCGACTTTTCGACTTTTTCCGACTTTTCGACTTTTCGATTTTTTACGACTTTTTGACTATTTTCGACTTATTTCGACTTTTTTTCGACTTTTTTCGACTATTTTTTTACTTTTTTCGAGTTTTTCCGACTATTTTAGAGTTTTTGATCACTTTTCCACTTTTTTAAAATTTTCGACTATTTCCGACTTTTCGACTTTTTTCGACTTTTCGACTTTTTCCGACTTTTCGACTTTTTCCGACTTTTCGACTTTTCGACTTTCTTCGACTTTTTTCGACTTATCGACTTTTTTCGACTTTCCGACTTTTCGACTTTTTTCGACTTTTATTTACAAAGTCGACTTTTCGACTTTTTTCATAGACGATAGTCGAGTTATCGACTTTTTTGGAACAAAATAGTCGACTTCGACTTTTCGACTTTTTTCGACAAAAAGTCGATTGTTCGATTATTCGAAAGTCGATTTATAGAACCCTACTGCTTATGTTATTTCGTAAATTTGAAAGCATGGTTGCCAGATAAATTTCACAATAAGAACAGAGTACTGCTTTTGCGAAATTATTTCGCAAATATTTCGTACCAAATATTTTATATGTAGTTTGACAGCATTTCGCACGAAATTTTGAACAGAGTACCTAGCTTAATATAACAAAAATATGTTTGTACCGGCCAGGTTGACAAACAAATTTGAACATTACTTTTCTGAGCTACCAGATCGAGCGGCGCTGGTAATTGCATTGGCCGGGCTATCACTCGCCGGATTGGGGTGGAATCTTGCTCTACTGGAGCTCGTTGCCTAGGTACAAAAAAAATTCCAGCTAACTATAACAACTTAAATGAGGGACCCGATAAGAGATTAATATTCATTTTAACTTTCTATCTATAGAACACTCTTATTTCCTTTTCCTTTTTTTAATCAAACGGTTGATGTTTTGCCGCAGCAATCCCCTCCCACAAGAGAACAATATGGCTCTCGATCCATGGTAACATCTGATAACTGGAGTTACCCCTAACGTTCCTCTCCAAGGCCACATCTCAAGGTAAAAACTCATATTTCGATGACTGATTCATCATCGCCAGTCATGGAATTTTGGTTATAGATTCCTTTGGTATTGTATAGATCCACAAAGAAGGAATTTTTGGAAACTCGAACATTTAGGAGATGAAATGGGTAAAATTGGTATCCTTAATATCTCCTAAAGAAGCAAAGATATAAATAAAATTCGAAATATATCCTTTTTTATATAAAAAAATAATTGATAGGTGTCTGGTACTTTTTCGAAATTCGACACTATAAAGAGCTAACAGGGTAAAAACTTACCCATTAGAATATTCTTTTACCGCCCACATCTTTTAAACAAATAACCACGCAAATAAAAATTTCAATGAATCCTATTTAAATTAAAGGGTTTTAGAAATCCTTTCAATACTTTTTTAAAATTCGAGCCATGAAGGGTAAAAAAAGTGACTAAAATTGGTACTTTTTTAAAAAAAAAAATATATTTTTTAATAAACTTTTGAGCGTCAAAAATAAATAAGTTTCCCAGATATTTAAAAATGAACTGGTACTGGTTTTAATCTTCAGTTTTAAACAGTAAAAATTTACAAACTGTATCCATCCACCACTTTTTTTGGTACTTTTATGCTGTAAATACTGATATTTTTTTAAAAACGTTTCAATAAAAATGCCTTACATCAATGATATTCGAACCCAAGTTATCTAATTTCAGTTTGAGCATCTAACCACTTAGACTACATACGAACTTCCAATCGTAAAGAAAAATATTTATTTTAAATAATCCGTTTTTAAATATATTTTTCACCTTACTCAACAAATGGTGAATTCCAAATAAATTATAAATAAAAGTATTTATGTAACACTATAGTAGAGACAAAAACCTACAATCTAATTGTTACCAACTTTATAAAAATTTTGTTTTTTTAAGTTAAATTAATTTTCTCTCTTTTATACACATTATATAGTATCAACTCCTTATTCATAACAATTTATCATAGGTTTATAAAACATACAACACTTTTTTTAAATTTAAAGAGATTAGAAAACTCGACTTATGTGTAAGTGAAATGAAAAACTCCATTTCAATTGGCATTTTATTATTTTTATTTTGTGAACAATTTTTTTAAATAATCCTTAAAATATCAGCCCTTTTCTATAAATTTTCTTTTATTTGCATTATTTTTAATTAGAATGTGAGATTTTACTTTTGTTATTCAGAAAATTTTAGTTCTTTGCAATGTTAAAATTTTATTATGTTTATCCAGTAATCGAATCTATGGTAGCATACATTAAAGCTTTCTCTCCATGAAAATATGCGCGTCCATCTGAGAGGAGATAACTCTGCAGCACAATTTTCTGAAATACTATTAAAAATTGGTAACGGAAATTATCCTCAGGTTGAAGGTAAACTGATTATACCTTTAGAGCTTGGCGTAGTAGTAAATACATTGTCTGAGTTAACGGCTAAGATATACCCTGATATATGCAATATCAACAAAAATGATAGAGCTGCAGCAATTAATGACAATTAGGACTCCTCGGCTATGTTAAATTTTTAAAACGATCCTATTTCTTCATTTGAGTTCCGATTTAAAAAAAATTTCGTATATAGAATCTCCTTATCGAGCACTATAAAAAATGTTGTAGCAGTAAATTATCTCTTATAGTTTAGGAGATATTCGCATTTGAAAATTAAAATTTTAAAATTTTTACCGACCTTACTTTAGTTTTTTTGATAATAGCGGGTCCAAATATTCCCGATTTTCCCCTTTTTTTTATTCGCTCAACAACAAGTTTATATATCATGCAGTGAAAGAATTATGTAAAAATCATGACTGAGTCCAAAGTTATAGGCATTTTAATTTAAAAAATTAAAAAAGGCGATTTTTTGCCATTTTTTTGGGAAAAAAGTATCTTTTTCTTTTTAAGTTATCTAAAAAGTTTCTAGAAGATGTATATAGAATTTATACTTTTTGGAAAGCTGACTTTACATAAAATACGATAAATGAAACAAAACCTAAAAATTTTTGATACCGAGGGGACCAGGTCCATCCAAAAAAAACCTATTTTTTATGGAAAATTCAATTTTGAGCAAAAATTCTCAAATCGCATAGTCGATATCAAATTATAGTGGCCTGTTTTATATGACCCAATATGTTCTTAATCATTTTGTAACGGGTTTCGATAACCCCGCCCCTGGTATGGATATAATAGGCAAAAAACCAAAAAATCCAATTTTTGGGATTTTTTAAAACTTTTTTTGGGAATTCCGGGATTTCTAATAACTTTTAGAAAATTTACCTAGCACTATTATTTTCACCCATAAGGTTAACTCTTAAATTTGTTACATATATGGATGAAAATAATAGTGCTAGGTAAATTTTCTAAAAGATGTTGAGTTTTCCCTAATTAATTTGTCACTTAAAAAACATTAGGTAGGCATGTTATATATCAATGGAAAGGTAATTTTGTCTATTTTTCAAAACTGTATATAATTTTTGAAAATTAAAAAATTCGCGGAATACTTTTTTTAAAAAAAATTAAAAAATGTTTTTTATTCAGTTTTTGCGAAGATACAAATTTTTCAAATTGCAATAAAAATTTTATTTATGAATATTTTTTGATGAAATTTTACAGTTAGGTAGATTTTTTTA